TCCAGGATCATTCTGAGGAACATTCGAGTCGAAGAAACAATCTCAGGACTAGGATCAGTAACGAAGGCGGCGACCTTCTGGTGAGTAAGTCTGCTGAACACTCTGCTGAGGAGTCTGCAGTCCACTGCTTGAAGCAGTGCCTTAGTGCGTTGGAGTTGGGCCGGGGCAGCGATAGCTGACTGCCTAGCGACTCAACGCTATGCAGAGGCGCTGCCATCGACAATGGCAGCTGGCTCCTGGGGGCCGAGCTCCTTTTCGACGCTCCGGCGCCGCTACAGAGCTTCGCCCGGCATCGACCGCCAGATCCGAGTTGCAGCATACCAGGATTGTGGACCCGAGATGGGTGCAGGTGGCTGTTGCCAGGGTCAGGGAAAGGGAAGCCTTTCTCGAAACGAAACGGAAGCTGGGGGGAAAGCCTTCGAATCCTCCCCCCAACGAGGGGAATGAAGAGCAGTGGCGGGTTCATGCTGCACTTGAGCTCTCAACCGTGTCCTTGGTCGAGCCTGCTACTGCTGCTCTTCAGATTAAGTTCTGGAAAGCCTTCGAGGACTGGGTTTGCTCAGGAGCAGGAGAGGAGCGCTCTAGAGCAAGCGTCCAAAGTTCCCGAGCTGCTGGTCGAACTCCTCAACAGCTTCGCCCAGGAGCTCTACGATGCTGGAACGTCCTTGCATTACTACAGGCAGCTTGTGGCCTACACTCAGCGGAAGTTTGTCAACATACGCCCCTACGTGCGAAAAGTATGGGAGACCATTTCAAAATGGGAGTCTTTGCATGGAGCCTGTTCACCGTCCTCCGCTTCCCGAACCTCTTCTTCGAGCTTTGTGTTCCGTTGCAATCAGTTGGGGGTGGAGGCGTTGGGCGGCCGTAACTTTGCTGGCCTTCTACGCCCTGTGTCGACCGAGTCGGCTTGCCGAAGACTCGACGCAGAGGGGCCAGTGTTCAGCACGTGCGATTACAAGCTCCAAGGTTCGTGCACGAGTTCGTTTGCGAAGTTTTTCAGAATCTTCAGCCAGCAAGTTCTCTCTTTGGGGGGTCTCCTGCGTCTTACCGACGAAGATGGGACTCTTTGTTGAAAGCCTTCCTGGTTGGACGAGAACATCGGATTGCGCCCGGCTCCCTCCGAGGTGGGGGGGCTGTTGCAGCTCATCGCCGAGGAGAATCTGTCTCGGAAGTTCAGTGGCGACTTCGCTTGAAACATCTAGGCACGCTGGGGCACTACTTGCAGGAGGTAGTGGCGTTGTCAGTGCTGCCTTCACTCTCGACGAGGTCCCGAGAACTGATTAAGGCCGCCTCTAATTTGCTCCCTTTCTTGTGCAAATCAAAGGTGCCCTGAAAGCGCAGGTTCCCTAGGCTTTACTCCTCAAATGGCGGGCAGGGACGCCTAAGTGGCTTCCTGAGACGGCCTTGCTGGCCCTTCACCGTCACACGGAGCGTGAGTGCCAAAAAGAGGCACCTTTTTGGGAAAGCAGGGTTGGGGATTAACATGACACGTCATGTTCATCCTTTACCTTGCAGCTTTGGTTCCCTCCCTCCCGCCCAATGGGCAGGGACACCTAAGTGGCTTCCTGTGAGTGCCAAAAAGAGGCACCTTTTTGAGAAAGCAGGGTTGGGGATTAACATGAGTAATAGTTTCAGCAGAGGTTTAGGGCATTCGCAATGCGTACCACAAAATAGCCGTACAAATAGCAGGAAATAGAAGTGATTTGTTGTATGGAAACACTGAGTATGCGTGTGAGTATTCGTACGTACCCAAGGGCCCATGCCTTGAACCTTGAACCCCTGAATCCACGGGACTCCGCCAAAAAACGAGTCCTGGAACCTCTGCAGCAACGGCAAAACAGCAGTTATAGCTGGGGCTCTGGCGCTTGGACAATGTCAGCATCTATAGAAGTAAAGGATACCAGCAAGCCGGACGCTGTGGGAGCAGCTGGGACTACACATTTTGGGAGTTGGGCCCTCAAAAATCCCTAAACTCCCAAGCCATGTACCTTGAGCGGGGGGAGCAACTGAGTGTTGTCGTGCTACCGCGGTGTATGACTTGCCGTGGTGAGCAAATGTCTCGTCGTCATGAGTATGTATGATTTGTTGTCGCGGTTGCAATGCCCCCTCGTATCAAAATCTTCCTCTTTCCTTGTCCACATCAGTGCCCGGTTGATTTCGCATGCATGTTGGGGTTTCAGCAGCGGTCCCAGGTCTTTTTCGGGGGGCTCGAGTTTTTGTTGCGGACATGTTCGGAGTTTGTGGAACATGCCGCAGCCTCCCCGTGGCCCAAAGCAAAATACCATGGGGACAAGCGCGAGCGGATGCAATGACTGTTCCAAAAACCCTCAAGTTGATGTTGAGGTGACTTCCATACAGGCACCGAAGGCTCTTCAAGGTGAACAGCCTGATGCACGCGGTTTGCAAGCCCAGGTCAACGTTGCTCCTGGAGCTCAGCGAAGCAAGGAGCTTCGGCGGAGCCAGCTCTTGCGCAACGCGTTGGTTCCCGACTTCGAGATCCTACGTGGTCTGTCCGTCCAGGAAAGTCTCAGAGGCTTCGGTCGGCTTTGGCGTTTTTCTCCCACGGACCTGTCCGAGGAATCACGCGCTGCGATGTGGCAGCGCTCAAGGCCTTTGGAGTCCTTTGATCTGTTTTTGTCTCACACCTGGCGGACCAAAGGGCTCTGGAAGTTCTTGGCCTTGTCTCTGCAATGTGGATGGCAGCGGCTAGTGCTTAGCTGGTTCCTTGCGCTAGTTCTGGTGGAGATTCTGGTGTACTTTGACATACTTCCACTGCACATGAACTTCACCGTGCCTTGGTGAAATCGATCTCCAGCTGTTGATGCCTGCGAACCACTGCCCCATGCAACCAAGGTTTTTAAAGCATCCAAGTTGTGTCATCCTGACTGCGCGCAGCAACCATCAACAAGTGGGTTCGAACTTTCAGCAGTGGCCCCGACAACCCAAACCGCCCAAACCATCTGCAGACATCGAGACTCCCCCGACAGAGAATGCAAGAGTTTGCCGTTTGCCCAGATGTCCTGAGTATGCTGGTAAGAAGCGCGCCAAGGCTGTTTTCGAGGGCAACACCTACACCTTCCCTTTTGGAGCTCTGGGCGGGTTGAGGGAAGCTTAGGTTGCTTGAGGCTCAGTGGCAAGGTTTAAGCGCAAAATTTCTTAGCACTCTTCTGGCAGTGTAGGAGCCTGGGGTCTCTTCCTGGCAAACCTCACGCCCGTGATCACGGCCGTTGCAGCACCCGGGGGAACCCGGAATTGTTTCCTGGACATTGTCAGTGACTCGGCCTACGGCGATTCAGTAACGCTTGTCCATCACCTGGCGACAAACTGAGCTCACGACCTCGAATTTGCTTGACCAAGAACAGAAGAGTCAAGCAGCTGCGTTCAAGAAGCCAAAGAGACCAGCTCAGAGCCCTTTGAATGCAGAAACCGGAAGGTCTGAATCAGAGCTCCATGGATCCGTAAGCCCCAATCTACCGCTTGGCCTGGGGTTCTACGCGAGGGCTTCAAGCCCAGACCAGTGTGAGGTATCAACCAAGTGGACGAGGACTTGATGGAGCGTGGAATTTATGGTGACTCGGCATAACCTGTAGAAGGAGGCAAGGACTGCGCAGAAAGCCAACGGATGAAAGGACTGCTGTTGCTCACATGAAAGGACATTGATAATGCTTACGTATGTACACGTTTGACAGATGTTTCTATGTATATATGCATGCATGTAGGAAGGTAGGTATATATGAATAAATGAAGGAATGAATGTACGTATGTACATGTATGTACGTATATGTACGTATATTATGTACGCATAGGAGCAATTGGTCAAAACTCGCGTATTAGGCACGAAGAGAAGGAATGCCGTGACATGTAGAAATCGCGCAAGAAGCCCCAAAAGCCATAGGACCCCCCCAAAAGCGACACCCCTCAATCTAAGACGCAAACATGACTGTGTTTTGGCTGAACCCCCCAAAAGCGATACCTTTCTCGTATCCTACGCCAAAATCCCCGAAAAGGGATAGGCCCCCCCAAATTGTCCATGGCATCGGATTATACAAGAAGTTTCGGCGAACGCTCAATATGCACGCATATGCAAGCATGTATGTATGCAGGTATGTATATAGGTAGGTATAAAGATGTGTAGTACGTGTGTATGCATGTCTGTACCTACTTGCGCGTACCAAAGTTGTAATGCTTCCTTCCTGTCGGGGATTTGGATCGATATGGGCAAGCTACTTTCCAATCATCTGCTGGCTTCCTTATTGCCCTTGAGCTCATGCCGGTCGCACGGTTGAGTGTCCCACAATGGCTTTCTGCCTCCTAGCGAGCAACCATCAATACCATGGAAAACGGGACTTCATTCAGGAGGGACATAGGGCTCTACATGGGGATCATGTAATCGCACTTACAAGGCTTTTGCGAAGGGGTTAGCGGACTGCACAGAGACTCCAATTCAAGCAACCAGAACTTGAACATTAGACGCTCTCAAGGTCTGGGAGGATGCTTGGCGGTCTCCCGGCTCATTCTGAGAAGCGTGGATTTCGGATGTCCCAACCCCCGACCTAAATCTCCCCACAACTTCCCACAACCTCGAACTTAAAATGGCAAATCTCAGGTGACCAAGGAATTGCGCATCCTCTGGTCAAAGCCATACTTGCGGCTTGTCCATTTGGAGCTGGATGTTTCTATAGGCTGTCCTCCAGTGGGTAACTGGCACAGTTCTTGGAACCTCTCGTAGTCGCAAAGCATAAATAAGTATAAACGCTATCGCGCGCCCGCCTCGGCTGGCGGGGCGAGGAGCACACAAATAGATCATGGCATGTAGTTGATATGTGGGGTTTAGGGTCGAGGGAGTAACGGAGGAAAGCCTCATGGAAGGCGGGGAGGGGGCGGGAGGACCGCATAAGCCTCAAATGTGGGCCGGAATTTCGCGTAGGCCACCCACCATGAGTGGGTCTCGGGGAGGTCTGCAAAGAGGAGTAGAGGGGTTAGAGGGTTCTGAACGCCCTGAGGCTGGACAGGCTCGGCGAATTAATGAGCAGGCTAGGCTGGAGGGTGAATACCTAACTTGAAGCCTTCATGTTCCAGATTTCATCCAGATTTCAGCGTCGCATAGTCAGCGTACTTGAGCCAAAATGAGGGCTCAGGGTAGGGAAAAAGGACACGAGCAGGGAAGTGGGGCCTCCTTTCACGTCCACCTCGACGTGACAGGGGAAGGAAGGGGCCCCTTCACTTCCACTTCGAAGTGAGGGGGGGAGAGGGGAATTTGCGTTTGTTTCCTGAATGAGTACGCCTGTACCTGGTGGTGCCGACCAGACGGTGGGATAGCGCAGGGCCTCGGCGCAGTGCGCCGGCTGGTCCATGGGGACCAGCTAAGCCCGAAGAAGAAGAAGAAGGGGAAATTGTGGAGGTATACAAAAACGGTGGGGAGTGCGTGACAGTATCGGTGGGAAATATTTCTCAAGTAAGGTGAAGGTGGAAAGCATCGTAGGTGGTAAAGTGAAAGTGGAAGTCAAGCAAGATCAAATCTCTTTGAAGCCGAAGGGTTGCAAGCTGTTGCTGAAGTTTTTGTGGCAACTACGCCCAGCCCTTGGACAGAATGCTGGTCGAAAACACACTTGTTAACCCCCGGCAAGGTTAGGCGCTAAAGGTCACATGTTTTTGTTGGTGACGTCAAATTTCGTCGCATTGGGTGTGTTGAATACTTTAAACTAAAAACAAAACATGCAGGTGCATGAGAGTTCCCTTGTACACAGGAGGTTCACACACGGACATGGATGAAAGACAAATTCCCTGGTGACTTGGATTGATCGATCGGCTCGAATCCTTAGGCTTTCTGAGGAGGTTAGTAGAGCCTAGTACAAGAGGTCCAGGCTGCTATCCATGGCCGACAGCACCTGAATGACCCCCCCCAAGCTGCCAGAACATGGCCCATGAGCGGGATCTCATACTCCATAAACAAAAACCTTTGCGGGGAGCCGTCGGGTAACTACTATCTTTTGTCGTACTTTTCGTCATGGGCTAGGTTCCGGTCTCATGGGGATAGGTTTTGGTCCCTGAATCCAGACATTGGGAATGGAACCCATCGTCATCGTGCCAGACATGAAGAAGGGCAACCTGTACCTTTGGCTATGTGCAATGCCAAAGATAGGGCGTAGTACATTCCAGGTCGCTCTATCAACATCGCTCAAATTCCAGAGGTGTAGGATATCAAGCCGCCCGTCGCCCTGTACATGTTTTTGCTGGGAAAAGATGCTGCTCAGGCTTGGTTCTAGTCTGTCTGCTTGTGAGCTAGGTATTTGACGCTCAAGGCACTTTTTTATATCTGCAGCCTGGTGGCAAAATTCATGAACATGTGTGCTCTGAGGCTGCAATCACTGATATGTTCGCATGCAGCTGTAACACGTGAACTGACATGTACAACTGACAAATGCCAGGCTGACAAATGCAACTACATACTCGGAAAGCAGTATAGCTGTAAATGCTTAAGGACCACCCAACCTAGCACGCAAGGGGTGGCGTCTAATTTGCCACACCAGACTTCTAGGGCATGTCCCCCTTGCAATATGTTGAATGCGCACATACATGAACTTAAATGATACAGCTGGCAGCTGCTTCGCTTGGCAGACAGGGTGTCCATGGGTGTCCACACACGGCTGCGCACACACTCACGCAACAATGACCGCAAAGACACACGGCCGAGAGAAGGGTCCGGTGGCAGTTGTGAATTCAGCAGCAGCAACAACAATGCCAAAAAATCAAGGGAAGAATACCCGTGGACACAGCAGCGCATCGTCATCCTCATCCTGATCCCGATCCCCATCCTCATCTTCATCCTCATCGTAAACAGCAGCACCACCACCACAACTGCAACCGCAACACTAGAGTGGTAATCGCTAACACCAGCACAATCTACCAACCAGCCAAAACAATAAGCAGGTCACGACTCTGGTGCATCTTTGAGATTGCAGCTTATCGGTTTGTAAACCCGAATGGCAAGCTCACCCTCGCACCGTTGTTCCTCGAGAGTGGGGTGGTCATGCTTTGGCTCGGCCAAAACATCATCATGGTCGTTTACCTGGAGCTTCTGACCGTGGATGCTACACTGCCAAGATTCATGGTGGCTCCAGCCGTAATGCCCTTCGTCGTGATGGTGCACATGATGCGGAAAAACCTGCTGGTCAAACAAGAGTTGTTCGCATCACTGGAGAACTTCGATGTTGACAAGGCAGAATGCTCCAAGGAGTTTGACAGGGAATTTGTCCTTCAAGCGATCGAAAGGTGGTACGGCAGTCGAGAGGCCTTCACTGACTACGTTCGCGGGCCCCTCCGAAAGGAACTGCTGGGCAAGCAAGCCAATAGCCTGTTGCCGCTGCAGTACTGCTTTGTCATCGTGTCCCCGATTCTGAGCCTTAGTTTTGACATTCTGTCCCTGGGTGTCGAGTCAAGAAACTTTTTGGCTGGTCATGAGGTTATCATTGATGCATAGACAATAATTTGCCCCAGAGCTGTAAATCCTTGCCGCCAATTCGAAGGCTAGGCCTGGTCAAAAGCGCGTTGCCACTTCGTTTTCTCTTATGCTATGTCCTCAGCATCATGGTGGGCACAATGGTCTTCATGGGGGCTGCGCCTTGCTTGTTGATTCTGGTAGGGAATTTCCGTTTCTTTTCATGGCGGTCGGCCTGGGCGCATGAGTTCTTGGTGTTTGGCCATGAGGCTGTCACATCCAACGTGACATGCTTGGTAGTGGCTTGCATACTGTAATTGTGTAAACCTGGGAGTGGGTCAAAGCCGAAGTCTTTTAACAAGAGCTAAATTCGCGACGTACCCCTTTATGAAAGGGCATGTTCCAGGCTTATTGCTATGAGGCTTCTTGTAGCCACGCCACAGCATGCGAAGACCCGCGACAAAGGGTACATAGCCAGACAGACGTTTCAAGGGTTCGTATCAGATCGAGGGTTGTCAGCGCGGGCCGCAAGTTGTGACTCACTTCCACACACGAATATGCACCTCTATCATGCTAATTCGTCTAGGCCCGCCGCCAGTTCCAAGAAATGCTTTAGCCTCCCAGTCCTTAGAGTTTTGTAAGCCCATTGGAAAAACCTTTTAGAGCCCTTTGTAACCTTTAAAGCCTATCAGCCGCCAACCCCGAGGTTGCGGTCCGCTTCAGCCTCTTCCTGTGCGAACGCTTCGCTGCTCCCTACAAGCCCAGCCGCTGCTGCGAAACATGGACAATTATAATCATGATATGGTGATGATGATGATGCTGATGATGATGATGAGTATGGCTGTCATATTTCCGTCGTCTTTATTCCGAGCTGTTTCAGTTTGGAGTGCCAGGGCTTGGCACACGTTGGATGGGCACCATGGAAAGGTCGGTCAGGTCTTGTCGTCTGAGCTTACTTTGGGCCCTTCCAGAACGGATGGGGTCTTCATTCCATGCGTACGTGCGCAGCGTGTTGTTTCGAGCTGTTCAATAAACTCCATAATCACACGCCCATGTTGAGGCGCACAGCACAGGGATGGTCTCTGGAGGTCAATGAAAGTGCTGCTTCTTTTTTTATGGAGGGGCTTGCAGGGATCCTCCTCCTATGAGTCTAATCCGCAGCCATGCTCCAAAGCCAAGAAGAGCTTTGGGACTCCGCCGAGGATTGGCTTCAGAGTGTGGTGGTCTTCCTGGCTTGCAGCGTCATTGGCTTCGCTGGGTTTCTAGCCTCGGTTCTCGCGTACTCGACAAGCCTGGGTGCGTCTCTGGTCTGGTGCTTTTGTGTGATCTGCTTGATGGGGCTCTCGGGTATGGACTGGAACCGCCTCTTGGAAGTGCTTTCAGAATCAGCCTTGCAGTTGCACGTGCTTTAACGGTTTGCCTGTAGGTTTCTGCAGCGATTCGATTTGTTTGACCCAGGCGTATCGGCAAAGATCAACTGCCGCAGGGCTCCGCCGGAGAAGTCTCCAGCTGATGGCGAGGGCCACATGTCACTCTAGTCACTCTAGTCACTCTGTCCAGCCTTGCAAGAGCCAACTCGAAGCGCGAAGCGTGGCAGAGCGGAAGGATCCGAGATGTTTTTCTAGGTCTAGATTTTTCAAGAAGGCTGAGTCTGGCAGATTTTTGAATGGGGTTAACGTCGAAGACGTGGCTCGAAATCCCTGATTTTTTAGAAGCTGGATTTGTAAAAGAATGGACTTCCCATCTTAGCAGAAACTTGGCAGTTGGAACTCAAAGAACGAGCTGTATTTGGGTGTGCTGTTGCCATAAACTACTCGACCACGGCAAGAGTGGAGTTTCACCATGGAGTAGTGGAAGATCACTTTCGCCTAGCAACTGGAAACAAAGTCATTCAAAGCTAGAAGCTTCAGGGTGACGGCACTTTGGACTGCCGTAAAGAATCATATAGTTGCCTAAGCGCGCAGAAGCGCGAGAGCCCACAGCCATTCAACTCCATGTATCACAAATTCGGCTGTGGTTCGGTACGGTAAGGTTCGGGCTTCTTGAGTGCTTGATCAGCAACAGTAGCTGGAACAAGAGCACTTTGGCGGCTCGATCCTTCGTGACATTTGGCAAAGCAGACCAGAACTATTTGGCACGTTTTGTCAGAGCACCTTCCTGATCTTCCTGAAGCTAGCATGTCGCTGCGTCCTTGTTGAATTCAATGTCCGCCACGTGTGGACTACACTTCAGAGTTGGGAATCAGGGACACTGTGTCTACGACGTTGAAATGTGTTTTTTGCCTTTCGGGTTTGGGGCTTCAGTGAAGTGATTAAATGCTTGAGGTGGTCTGCTTTTGCAGCTCATGACACGGATTCGTTGTCAGAACCAGCCGCTCGACAAGCGCTTCTCAGAGATCTAGCCAGGAAATCCCACACACACAGACTTCAAGCCAAAACCTCGCATCTTGCTCTGTAAGTGTCAATGCTCTTGAAGTTGTCGACGTAACTTGCAACTAGCAACTTTGCTATTGACACCATGGCAAGCGATAATGGCCTGTGTCATCAGCTGTCGCGCTGTCGCTGAAACCCCCAGCAGGTCCTACGGTACACGGGACTTCAGGGAGTATTTCAATCAGCTGTGTCAAGGCTGTCGCTTCCCAAGGCCTCCCAGGCCTTCTGGAACAGCGTCCAGGGGCCCTCGGAGGTCTCATTTTGCATTATGGTTCTCATAAACTCTGAAGCACACTGCCTTGGTCTGCCATCATTCTGACACTGCAAAACGCAAGGATTCGCTTGAAATATGTTGCGCAAGCAGGGGCCCACAGGTAGTTCAGCAATTTGCTCAGAAGACGTGTACATACGGATCGTCTACGGACATATGTACAGTGAGAGGTACAGTAATTGTACATGATAGATAATGCATATAGCTAAACTGGCTATATTGTAGAGATGATGGATATCATTGGTATGGTTGATGACAACCCAGGCTAAACTGCTGCATTGACAATTTGGCTCTTCTCGCTTAGCCTTTTTTGCCCTGTTCTTCAGAAAGTCTGCATGGCATCCTAAGCGCCTGCTAGCACCGGCCTGAGTGGAAGCTACGACCAGCAAGAGTTGTGGGATGCTGTGCTCTCATAGTGGCATACGAGGAACTCTCGGCAGGTGCCTGGCCCACTGAACTCTTGCACCACAATGCTCAGCATGCTGCCAGGGCCGATCTGGGAACCGTTGCCAGCATCCTCGTGAGGGGAGCCCTATGCTGGCAGATGTTGCTCTTGGGGTGGCAATCGTTTGTTTCTCAGCGAACATTGTCATGTGTTATCGGGCTAAGCACAGGCATCCCGACTTGCGACCTCTTCCATCCTGTTGTCAACAGCTGCGTTTCGGAGATCCCAAATGAAAAAGCCTCGCGTCCGGGTGAATCTTCTATCGTCATGTGCGGCTTTCAGGTGTGCCTAGAATTCTAAGTTGATACATGATCGAAAGCCGTGTTTTTTGGATGCTTCTTTGTTGCAGAATGCTTTGGGCAATTCCCATGGCCAACAGCTCGACTCTGAAATTCAGCTGCTGCCAAGTGGCACGCCCCTTCTTCATTTATTTTGGCTTCAAGCACACAGCATTTTCACGGATGCTTTCAGAAGACCGACCATGTTTGCAAAAAGATGGGCGGCAACCCAGAAAAGGCAAGAAATGCGTGCAGTAAGGAGATGCTTCGCCCTTTGCCGAGCATCCACGCCGGCATCGCTTGTGACAATGTTTTGGCGAAGAATGTTGTTTCTCTGCAAGTTTTCTTGATGGATAGCCACGTAGACTTTCCATTTATTGATGCCAAACGGGGCAGGGCCACATGGACCCGAATACCAGTAGGGCTACGTCATACTACGGCATAACTGTTACAAAGCAATTCTCAGAATCTTCCTGGGTCTGGCATTAGCTGATGCCGGCAGTGTGCCTTTCACCTGCGCACTGTGCATGTGCTTTCGGCAGCAGGAATCGTTGCAGAGCTGACGAAACCCAAAAGTTTGTTCTTGAGCTTTTTAAGGTTTGGAGAACTTGTAGGGACGAAGTGCCTAAGGTCCCGCATCTAGGAGAGAGGTCAGGAGAGTCTGCTGAGCATCCATTGGCGGAGTGACAGGGTCGACGTATTTCCACGCCCAGACACGCACAAGTCACGCAAGACACGCACAAGCAATTCCTGCAGCATTGGCCTTTGCAGGTGCCCACAACCGCAGCCAGACCTTGGCATTCAACCTGCGAATCCTGCGACTCGTTGTCCGACCACCTTTGCATTTAGGGGCTTGAACTTCGCTGCACTTACCTGAGCTGATCTTATTAAAGCTCTATATGCAGGTTTGCCACTCGTGCAGCTAAGAATGGAAAGGCTTCTGAGTAGTGCTGAACGCAGTCAGCAAGCGTTGCACGGGACCATGGCTTCATGGCAGAGTGAATGGGCGCTGCAGGGTTTCTCCAGCGCCTGCCTGCTTCAAATGCAGGTTTCCATACCTTTGCCGAGTCATCCCCAAAGCTGCCACGCACAGTACCTAAGAATGCCATTGGTCATTCTGGGTCCATAACAAAGATGCCTGAGTAAGAGTGCAATGAACAGCGTTTGTGGCTAAGGCTTAGTACAGTGCACGCCCCGCGCATTCTTACCCGGTTCTGAATGCGGAGCTGCACATCTGGTGTTTGGACTAGATGTGGTTCAGCATGCCCGATATTCAAACACGGCGCTGCTGCATCCACTCAACCGTCCCATCCGACCACTTAGCGCTCCGTAGTTCGTTGTGGGATCAGAGGCTTCAGTTGGCGAAATCTCGTAGCGGCTGCTTGGCATGTTTGTTCAGGGAGTGTTGGACTTCACAGCAGTGGTAGCTCTGGGCATTCGGTCAAGGTTAAGTGTCCCGAAAGATCAAGAAAGCACATGCGTGTTTGTTCTGCCAAATTCTGTGTCACAGCAGTTGAGTGTCCAGACATCCCAACCTCGACTTCAGCTCCCTGTGCATTGTCAATCCTTCCGTGTTGCATAGCAAAGCCCAAGCCGATTTGCCCATGACAATCAACACTTGCTTCCCTTGCAAATGGTTCTGGCCCAGGGAAGTTGACGTGCCCTGTTCTGTGGCCACGATAGATGCAGGATGTGTCTCTTCCAGATTGGTGGCCGCCACACTTGCCACGGCAGTTCGGCAGCAGTCCTTCCTGTACTGCGGGAGTTACGCTTGCCTTGGAAGACTGCAGGTCATTGACGTAAGTTATATGCCAAGGCAGCATGCACGAACTCCTCACGCGGTTCATGTCCGCATTTGAACTTCAGCAGAGACACCCCGCACTAGCCTAGCCTAGTCATTATGATTGGTTCTGACCTGTGTGAGAGCCTCTGCCGGACTCCGGACTCCGCACAAGATTGCGTGTGATAGCAGCCAGCATGTTTGGCACGCTGCCATTTTGATGCCCATGGCCACTTGCAGGAACTTTGGAGGCAAAGAGGCACGGACATAAACTACCAGGGAAGACACCTGAGCAGAGACCTGCCGGCTTGATGCTGCACGTCAGCCTCAGATAAGCCAAAGCAAGGACTCCCGCCTGTGGGTGCGGCTGTGGAATTGCGCGGCCTCACTACCATGATATGGAGTTTCATGATTCATGGTGAGCTCTAACCAGCAAGGGTGACCCGACTCTCGGCGCCTGGCAAAGCAATTCCGCGGCTCTGCCTTTGCTCGTGATTCAGCCATCGAAGAGAATGCAAAGACATAAACCCGGCGATCGCAGCTGCGCGAGTCTAGGTCAACTATAAATTGGCCAGTCAAGGTTAGCGCGGTGAATGTGCATCGCAGCCTTGCCCGCACCATATTCCCGAATCAGGATTCGATTGTGTGGCTTTTAGGGCACACGCGTGGCCGACACCGCCTGATGCACTCGCACATTCGCACCTACTCGTACAGGGGTGTCTTTGTGCAACAGATGCAGCAAGCCTTGCGCGGTTGAAGCCTGTTTGTCAACATATCCACTCACCAACCTGCCTCGTACAGAGGGTGGAAGTCAATTTGAATTGCGCCTAGGCCTCGTGACAATGCCCTCCCAAGTTTTCATGTTAAAGCAGTCATGAAGGGGAGCACGATTACCTGATACGGGATACATCGTGACACTTCGGGGCTGGACCGTCACGCTTCTTGCAGGCGAGCCCACAAACAGAAGCAGAATACGTGAGGTAGTGAAGCCTGGGGCGTGGACTGTCTTCAGTGGACTTCGCCTGCGAGATGAGGAAAGGGCTGTAGACATGGATGACAATGAGTTGTTGGGCAAGTGGCAAGTGACATGCATGATTTTAAGAGGCTTAAGGCTTGAGAGGCTTATCTTGCAAGGGAGGTCAAGAGTAGTGGCAATCTCCCTGTTGCATGGCCAAATGACTGTAATGTTTGGTGGCATCTTCGCAGGAAGTGTTGGCAGCCTGCAATCTACGCTGGTTTAGCTTATGTCTTGCAAGAGCCAACGTCAGCCTGCCCAAGGCTTGAGAGGCCAATGCAGGCCTTCGGCCTTTTGACAGAAGCTTCCTGCATCTA